ACGGGGGTATTTAAGGAGCTGAGATGTTTTAGCACGTACTACTTAGATCTCTGTTTTTTCCTCTCTGTATACGTAAGTGAACATGAACTAAATATAACACGGCTGCTATTGAAAACAACCCGGACAAATTTCTCCCTGCGACAAGAATAATGATTGTCATTGTCACTATCAATGTTCGTGTTTGCTCTTTGAGATCCAATTCAAACTTAGAAAAGACGCGAACTAAGTAGAAACAAACGTTGATGAAAAAGTAACAGATGTCTATAAGAAAGTGCACATTTAAATGAAAATAACTCAGTAATCTTTTCAACAAAATATGAATCACATAAAATTCATTGACTTCAACTAGGGTTATGCCAAATTGTATTTGTCAATATAAAGAAACTTACTTTCCTTTTCGAGAAATATGAAGTTTTGACAATTTCAATCAAAAAGTAAAACGCAAAACTTTATAACTTAAGAAAAAAAAAAGGATTCATAATGTGTAATTTTTGCATTAATTAAAGAACAAATGTGAGGCAGCGTGGTGGAATCAGGCTCTCGTCAATTTTTGGGCATATAGAGTTATTGGTATCATCTTAAAGCTTGTTCATTTGTCTCTATTTGAGTGGAAAAAATATCCATTTATCCGGAATACAAGTCGACATATTTGCGAATGAAGGGGGTGGGGGTCACCTGTTTTCAGAGGTAATATTAGTGAGAAAATGGCCGCCAAAGATTAGTTATTTCCTTAGCTTAAGAGTCCGTGATAACTGAAAATTTATATTTTTTGTGCCTTTAATCAACATTTCTCAGAAAAATCCTTACTGAAATGAGTTCTTTAATGGACATGAAAGGTGTTGAGTCAAAAAACAAAAATTCGAAAAAAATTCACGAACCTGTGGAGAAATGCAAGTTTCTTCACTTTCATTATTTTGACCAGAACCTGATTCCACCACGCTGCCTCACAAATTTATGTGAAACAAATTTTGCCAAATAAACTCAGGAAAATAGATTGCTCCTTGTGCTATTTCTCTTCGAACACTCTTAAATACACAACCAGAAATTTGGAATAACTTTTTGACATGTTCCTAAGAAATCAATGAAAAGTCCGTTTGGCAGTGTCAACAGATACGACACGACACGACTCGACAAAAAAACGTGTCGATTGGAAAGCCGCTTGCTGCATTTTTAGCTTGGCGGGTCATGACTCGTGAGCCATAGGCCTCGCCGGAGATAAAAAAAACAATTCTAATTTTGAGTTCGGATTAAAATTCTAATATCATATTCATAATCAGGGCCTCAAAATTAGCAAAGTCTACGCTCAAACCACCTGGATGCATTTTAACAATTTTATCATTTTTCAATTAAAAACCCATTCATTTCTTATTCTCGTCTTGGGTTCATTGACCTCGACAATTTATAGCCTTGTTCCGAGGACATAGCCCGCCACAACAAGCAGTATCCGAGGAATAAGTAGGCCAACAGACTAGACGGGTGTCTTTTCCGGTCTGTGTGGAAACACAAGACGGAAACGATCTAACCGATTTTCTTCCTTCCGCCTAAAAATCTGGCCGTGTCCGTCCCAGTGGACACGTAATAATAATAATAATAATAAATAGCATTTATACTGCGCATTTCCATTTCCTAAAAGATGCTCAATGCGCATTACAATG